GTAATTGTTGTTGTTATGAAAACCTATTGACTCATCAATATCCTTAACGTTATTTCCTTGTATAGTAAATTTTAGGTTTAGCAAACATAAAAATCATATTTGTATGTTATAACTATAGTTTGTAAGTTCATCGAATATCCTTTCGATTTTGATTCAAGATTGTCGAAAATTTTGACATTCAAAATTCTTCTCCAGTTCATTGAAGGTCCTTTCCGTTTTGATTCAAAATTGTTGAAAATTTTGAGTGTCAAAATTATTCTCCTAGTTCATTGAAGATTCTTTCAACTTTGATTCAAAATTATTGAAAATTTTGAGAAGACACATCATGAAGATCCTTTCAATTTAAATTGATAAGTGTTGTATTTCTACTAGATACATTAAATAAGAAAGTGTTGCCCATTAGATTTTAGGTTTGAGATCGATACATTAGTATTTGGTAATTATTGTGTATCAGATACATTTAGTATAAATTTGAATTTACGTATCATAACTAAAAAATTAGTGCATGATACATTATTATTTATGTATCTTATTTCGTTTGAGATCATGAAGATCCTTTCAATTTAAATTGATAAGTGTTGTATTTCTACTAGATACATTAAATAAGAAAATGTTGCCCATAAGATTTTAAGTTTGAGATTGATACATTATTGTTTGGTATTGTTATGTATCAGATATATTTAGTATAAATTTGAATTTACGTATCATAACTAAAAAATTAGTGTATGATACATTATTATTTATGTATCTTATTTTGTTTGAGAAATACTATATTTTAAAATTAAAAAAAAATACATTATACATGTAATTGTTTCAAATAAGCTTCTTTTTTGTGTGTGATAAATAACACAAAGTTTATGTATCAAGTACATTTCTATTAAACATGATAAACACTAATCCAACAACATTAGAGTTATGTATCAATACCTTACATATGAACATTATACATTGCATAAAACAAATGTTATTGTAGCAGTGATGTATTAGATCAATGATAACACTAACAAAGACTAATTTAAGACTCAAAATAAATGAGATACATTAAAAATATGTATCTTTGATAGTGATGGTCGTGCTATGGTAGCCGTAGATCCAACTTTTTTCTTCTTTTTTTTGGACGTTTTTCAATAGTAGAAACATTAAAAGAAAATAAATATTTTTCAAGAAAAATTTTCAACGACAATATGATTAACTAAAATTGCAAAGGTTCAATAAGATTTCAATGAGGGCAGGGGGCGGAGGTAATTTTATTATTATTTTTTAAGATGAAAAAATTAAAAAATAATAATAAAAGAAATCGAAATTGAAGTAATGGAAAGAAATCTACCTCTTGAATAGTTTGAAATCATTAATTGGAAATAGAAATGATTTGAAATTCAAAAACAGATTAATTGATAAACTTGAGAGAGATCTTCTGAAAATCAAAATGAATTTGAATTTGTAACTGCTAAAGAAGTGGAGAGAATTTAGGGATAAAACGGAGAGTGAAATGGGGAGTGGGAAACGTAGGTGTAGGCTGAAAATAGGAGTGAAATATTTATGTATCTGAAAGATTTTATGAATTGGGAGAATTAAGAGATTTTTGAATTTTTTTAAAAAGATAGGGATAAATGAATATTAAGGTAAGTAAATATGTGTATATAAGTAATTTTCCCTTAAATGTATTTGGATTTAGTCATCTCACTAATAAACAGTTCATTCAATTTAGATAGACACCGAGTATTTTTTACTAAAGACTCGAACTTAAAAATTCTAATTAGAAATAAACGAATATTTATTATTCGACCACAAATTAAAATAGTATATTCGGTGTTCTATTCTCTCAGCGTGCAAAACAACGACGGTCAAGTTATTCCAACATTTTTTTTATAAATATTTCAACATGAAAATAGTACTTTGAGTCAAGTCAACTTATTCAATTAATCATTTACTTAATATATCCCTATTTAGATAGACACCGAGTATTTCTTACTAATTCTGATTTGCATAAAAAAATAATTCCTTTGAATGGTAAAATTTTACTTTTTAATTATCTAAAATAATTTCGTACTCAAGACTCAAACTTAAAAGTTCTAATTAAAAATAAACGAATATTTACTCTCAGCGTGCAAAACAACGACGGTCAAGTTATTCCAACATTACTTGAGTCAAGTCAACTTACTCAATTAATCATTTACTTTAATATATTCCATAAAATGTTAATGGTCATCATATATATAGTTCGTATTGTAGTGATCGATATTGTTGAAAAATGTGGACAATAGTTTGTCACTTTATAAAAAAAGTGATAATAATTTTTTCTTTTAATATATTATCGTAAAAATATTTAGTGGTGATTGAGTTAATATTATTGCATTTAAAATCGTTAAAACTTTTAGTGGATATTTATATAGAATGTTATTTATAAATGTCCATATTTATTATTGCTGCTAAATTTAATATAACACAATTATACTATTACTGCAAAATCCTTTATTTGTTGTAGTGTAAGGTCTGCACACACTTTTTCCTCCCTAAACCAATAGTTCAACCAACAGTTCATAGCTACCTTCAGGCTTTGATGTAGGAGTAAGATTTGCGTACACTTTATTTTCTTCATTCCCCCTTTGTGAGATTATATTAAATATGTTGTTGTATTACTCTAAACCAAAAGTAAATATATTCGATTTTTCATTTTTTATTTTAAATTTCTCATTCAGTATTTTGTGTTTGTATTTGGGTTTGACTAATTCAGATTCACGCTGGAAGGTCCCATTTGAGAGATAAAATAAAGTACTCCCTATCAAAAATGATTTCATACATAGAGCTCAATTAAAAAACTCTAATTAAAAATTAAAAAATATTTATCGCTAACAACATTTGATGGTTTTATTCTCTCATCAAAACAAAGACGACCAAGTTATTCCAACACATTTTATATATTTTCCAACAACCCTGAGGGGTAGCTCAGCTGGTAAAGGCCTGGGACAAAGTCCTTCAGGTCGCCGGTTCGAGCCCCAGCAGGGCCACTGGAGGCATTACAAACCGGCCGCGTCTCCAGGGCCCCATGGAACTAACCGTGGTGGACCCGCCTTGAAACAGCGGGACCCGGTGGGTACAGCTAGTCGGGTTCGCAAAGCGACGCCCGAAAACCACGGTAAAAAAAAAAAAAAAAATATTTTCCAACATGAAAATAGTCTCAAGTCAACTTATTATTCAATTCCCATCAACTTCACTTTATTCCAAAAAAAAAAATTGAAAAAATATAAATGGTCATCATAGTACGTAGTGACCAATGTTGAAAAATATGGACACTAGTCAGATAATTCACCGAGAAAATGTACTCTTAAGGCGTCCACATTAATGGAATTTAAGAGAAAAACTCTTGGTCAATGAATGATAAGGACAATATCCACAACGTTGCAACTTGATACTCCGCAGTCGAACGATAATTGTTTACTATTGACTTTGTACATTTCTTAATAAATTATAAATAGAAAGGTAATTTAATTATATCATATTTTAAATATAATAAATATAATGTCTTGAAAAATATAATAGAGAAATTACTATAATTAATGATAAGGATAAATTAGAAATTAAGTGTAAAATTATCCATTAATTTCATAAAGTCGACAAGTATTGTTGGACATTTCAAAATAGTATAGTGGACAACTATTGTTAGATAGAGGGAGTAATTACTCTCTATGTCCAACAATAGTTGTTCACTATTGACTTGACACACCCCTTAAGATACAATAAATAATAGGAGTAATATTATTATATTATCCTTTGATTTTATTAAATTTAATGTTTTGAGAAATGTGTTAGATGATAAATCATAGTATTTAATAGCAAGGGTAAAATAAACACAAAATCAATTATTTCTTGATTTTCTAAATTAAACAAGTATGGTTGGACAACTATTTTTAGTATAGTGAACAACTATACTTATTTGTAGTGAATTTTCTATTTCAAATTATTTGTCATTTTAAAAGTTCAAGATATTATTTTCATTATCTTTAGTAATTCTTGTTTTTGATAAGTATAAACATCTCAATTGAATAAATATTTAATGAAAAGAGATTATATCATAAGATATATAAATGAGGGTAAAATTAATATTAAAAGCTCTATTAATTAAATTAATTAATATTTTTTTAAGGAACATGTAAAAAAGAACGCGACAGATAATTTGAGACTGAGAAAGTAGTACTTAAACCTAGAAAATATTGACGAGTGTGGAAGTTTGAGAATTTATATAAGTACTACTCCCTCTGTCCCTAATTACTTGTCCACTTTTGAATTGACACACTTATTAAGAAAACAAGTAATGACATAGTGAGTTTACTATTTTATCCCTATTAATTATAAAGTGGATAAAAAGTTCTACATTTTTCAAAGTAATTAGTCATTTAATTGAGGGTATAATAGGTAAAAAAAATTGTCCTTTCTTGATTTGTCAAAATGGACAAGTAATTAGGGGAAAATGGAGTATATTTCAACATGAAAATAGTAAGTCAACTTATTTATGTTGAAAAACAGCGTACGTGGTACGTTGCTACTTGGTAAATACAAACTCTTTCCGTCTCAAAATATTTGTCGTAACTTTTGTTTTTTCCTTAAAAAAATTATTTGTTATTTTAAATATTCAAAATATTTTTATTTTATTTTATTCTTAATAGTAATTGTTCTTAAAATCTACAAACACCTTAATAAAATAAAATAAATATTTGATGAAAAAAACATAATATATCTTAAGACATAAATAAGGATAGAATAGGAAGGAAAAAAAACCCTATTAATTAGCATTTTCTTTAAAAAATCGTTTAAAAAATAAAAAATATGAGAGATAATTTGATACTGAGAAAGTTCAAACTAACTAACACTTGAGATGTGACAACAAGCCTCAAATTAATCAACCATAATAATTGTTAAATAAACATTATATATAGTTTACACAATTTCAATCAACCATACAATTAGCGGGAAAAAAAAATTATTCCAACTTTTAATTAAATGACCAACCTCACGTTGGTCTTGAATACAACAATTAATAATAAACTTTGGTACACATTTTACATCAACAACAAAATATAATAAGTAACACAATCAAGAGTCTAGATCTTCAGCATGAGTTGGATTTTTAGAAGAACGAGCCATAAATGCTCTAATCATAGGTTTAACTTTCTCCACAGTTTTAATTATTCCCAAAAACATGAACCTATAGAGTATTACCATTCCAAATATTATAGCAACATCCACCCATTTTGAATATCCCATTTGTACTTGCCATACATTTCTCAATATTTCTTCACCACTAATTATGGCTGGCCCTCTAATTTGTTCATTAGGGAAATTTAATCCCAAGAATTCATTCTTGTAAAATCCTTGATTTGCATATTTGTGAAATGCAATGTAATACATTGGGTACTTCCAAAATGGCTTAGGAAGATCATTAGGCAATCTGAAAAAACCTCCATTAAGCATCATAACACCTTGAATTCCAGCTCCTAATTATTAAACGATCACAAAATTAGTACATGAAAATTAAATATCCCCCTCAAACCCCCCCCCCCCCTGCAAAACTATTTTTACGTATTGAAATTTAGCTTAACTTATTCATGTGACATCCTTACCTGTTATGATTCCCATGAGGAAGTCGGGGACAATGCTTGCTACAATCATCATGAGACTCTCGACTAACATCATGGTCGCAAAAAGTACTAGTGAAAAATACGCGAAGTGATCGAACCCTTTTTGTAATCCGACGAGGTAATAAGCGATAGCGCCAGGTATAACTGAGATTAATAAAAGGTAAGGAATGGAAGAAAATGTATTTCCCACCACATATGCAGCTACACCATAGTGTCCATTTAATCTTTCTCGAGTGAAAATCTAGAGAAAAAAAGACACATAATATATAAGTATCATTGTATAAATGGACAAATTATTTATTATATAGAGATAGTTAATAAGTGTCATATATATACTTTCATATCTTCAACAAATGAAGGGAATCCACCAATAGCCATAAAAGTCAAGAAGGCAGCAACAAACATCAACATTGAACCTCTAGCCTGAAAAACGTTAAAAAAATACAGGATTAACAAAAAATCATCGCTAATTCTATTTAACAATGAATAACAATATTTACCTGAATGGAGCCATAGTCATGTCCAATGTCATGAAAAATAGTGCCAACACACAAACACAAAGCAATATAAATTGCAAAACGTAGCCAGTAATAACCAAGATCGCGATACATGTTCACGAAAGACCTCCTTGTGAGAACCATACATTGAGTAATGAAACCTGCTTGACTTCCTTTCTTTGCATCTTCTCCTCCACTCTATACACAAATTAAATATTCATTAGATCACAAATTAATATTTTTTTTCAAAAAATAATTAATATTATACAAACCTGTTGGCAAATTTCTGAAACTTTACGTTGAACTTGTTGACAACCCTGTGAAGTCTTGTATGACTTAACAAGAATATCAATTGCTTCTGTAGCAGTAGCTTTTCCACCAACTCCTTTTTCAATATCCTAATTAATTAAAATCAAATAGACATTAATAATTTGATTTTAATTAATAATGACAAAGCAAATATATTTTTTTTACTTACAATATCAAAGTCCTTGTTGATTGTCCTTAGATAATGATCAGATGGATTCCTCATAGTTGGACATGGGAAACCATTCAAAGCAAAATACTACAAAACCAAGATAAAAAAAAAAGTTTGATTAGTTTTTTGTTGATATATTTTACCCAACCCGCTTTTTCAACACCTGTATGTAAAAGGATGTGATATGTACCTCATTAGCATTAGAAATGTTACCAAAGTAGACAATTCTTCCAGAGGACAAAAGGCAAAGATTGTGAAAAAGTTGAAAAACTTCACTACTTGGTTGATGAATTGAAGCAACAATAGTTCTTCCATCTTGTTTAGCCAATTGGACAATTTTATTCATAACATGATAAGAAGCAGCACTATCAAGCCCACTTGTTGGTTCATCAAGAAATAATAGTTTGGGCCTTTTTAATATTTCAATACAAATACTAACTCTTCTTTTTTGTCCACCACTTAGCCCTTTAACACTCCATCCACCAATTCTTGTGTTCATTGCATCTTGTAAACCCATTTCTCTTATGGTTTGTTCAGCCCTATCTCTCTTCTCTGATCTCGACATCGAATCCGGTAATTGGAGTTGGGCTGAATAGTAAATTGCTTCTTTTACTGTTAGGGTTGTCATCAATATGTCATCTTGCGTCACGTATGCCTTTTAGGAAAAAAAAAAAAAGAAGTCATGTTGACTGTGTATAAAGATTAAACTTGAAAAAAAAGGTCAGATATTAATTATCGTACCGAAGTGCCAAAAGCAAGTGATTGTCTACGACCATTGATGAGGATTTCTCCTCTTTGTCTTGTGTTCGAATCCAATCTCCCTGCAATTATATTATGTCCATCACATTAACAAATTTTTATTTTTATTAACAAAATTAAAACTTCAATATTATTTAGTGGGGCCTATTTCTACTATGCTGATGAGATAAATAGTATCCATTTTTTTTTAATTAAAATTTTGATTCTAAGAAAACAAAGTAAGAAATTTTGTCACAAAACGTTTTTCTTTTTATTATACGTTTATGTAATGTGAATTCTGATTAATTAGAAACCCAAAATGGAACCAAATACCAAATGTGAAAAAAAGGTCTCTTTCTAGTAGACTTAAAACATTCTTTTATACCAAACAACAATTAATGGAAGATTCTCAAGCAGTTGATGTTTGAAGTCAAAATATGTGGACCCTTAATCATCCTTTATATAGTATGTGGAGTAGTTCATAAGCCATTTATATAAAACAATAATTTAAAGCAAAATCTCCTAAATTTAACCTATTATTACACTTTTAAACATTTACAAAAATAAAATAAAATAAAATAGAAAAGTAAGATAGATAAATTGAATTTAAAAGAAATATTCATCATCAATAAATTCGACTATCTTCTTTTAAAAATCATTTTATGGACTACATCAATCAACTCCTATAGCATCAAAATAATCAACATAGGGGATGCTTCATTTTATTTTATTTTACCTCTAACTAGAATATCAGTTCGAACTTCAAGACAAGAGAGTTTTTTAACCCTCCTAATTAATTCCTAGGTCTATACATTGTAAATTTCGAATATCAAATGATTAAATTGAGAGAAAAAAAATACCTGCTAGAGTATCAAGAAGTGTTGATTTGCCACAACCAGAAGGACCCATAATTGCCAAAACTTCACCAGGTTGTACATAACCAGTAAGCCCTTGCAAAATAGCTCTTCTCCCACTTTTTTTATCAGGCACAGTTACCCATAAATCTTTCCATGTTAAATAAATTCCTTCATTAATCAACTTTCCACCCAAAGCCACATCATCATCATAACCAAAATTAGTATTACTAATCATAGGATTAGTAACACTAATTTGTTTAGGTGGCTCATAATAATTAGTACTTTCCATCTCTATTGACCTTTTTATTTCAGAATCAACCCTTAGAGATGGTGCTTCAATTGAACCAATACTTGGTGTAAATGGGAAATTTTTTGTTGGATTATTAATGTGGCTAAAAGAAATGTCTTCTTCAGAGCTAACACTTTCATTTGTCTCCGATTCGTTACGTCGATGAGGTGATCGAATGGGACTAGGTGTCCATCTCGGAACATAATTAGATTGTGATTCCATCTGATACTCGATTAATCTGTATGTGATTTTGTGCTAGTTAATCAAAATTCGAAATATAAGAGAGAAAGATAAAAGAAAAGGAGAATTAATGCATGGAAGAGAAGGGAAAGATGGTATATATTTATAGTGACAATAAGGAAGGTGTTGGGAAATTTAATTAGAGTAGTGATCTTAGCTAGTTGTATAAAATACTTTAGTGCTTAACAAATAAAATAGACTTGATTGACTTTCCAACAAGGCAAGCAATTAAGCTTAGGAACAAATGTGTATATTATTGTAACGACCCTCTTAGTCGTTTTATGTATTTTAATCATTAGTTTTTTTTATTAGCCCTTTTTAGTAGTTTTTCTAAATAAGTTATGACTTACAAGAATGAGTGGAATGATTTTCAGATTTAATAAAAGATTATTTTTGTTGCTAATAATAATAGAAAAGGAAAATAAATAAATAAATAATAAAAGGAAAAAAAAAAGAAATAAAAGGGTAAATGTTGCTGATTGTTGTGAACAACAGCAGTTCACTTGCGCAGCCGAGAAAAAGAAATAGAAAGGGTTGGAATACTCACCTGCGCCGTCGACAAGAGCATTCAGGTGAGAATTGTATCTCCAAATCTAGTGATTTTACAATTAAAGGCTTAGGCGAGAGAACAAACATATTACATTGACGTTAATGAAGTAATATGATAGTGGGATGGCAGGAGATTGTTGTTGTTGTGTATATTATTAGATAGGATTCAATTTTTAATAGTTAAATAGTGGTTAATAATGATTGGCAAGACCTTAGTTTAATGATTAGGTAATAATGGCCTAAATGATTGGAAGGAATATTGGTGGTGAATTGATGATTTCATGTTGTAACTTCCAGCGAATGAATTAAGGATTCACAAACTTTATTCGTCTTGGATATTTTGTTCTTTATCCGTATACTTATTATATTATAATTCAAAGTTTTTCTATACTGAAATAAGTAATTAAATATAATGGTATAAACTTATATGAATACCATTAGGTTGATATATGGAGAAATTGGAACTTAACCCTAGATTTGAAATTTGGAGAAAATTGAAGAGTTGACATGTTATTGGTATCAAGATTAGGAATTTGATTATAAACTTGGGTGAATTTTTGGGTCAAAGCTAAACACATAGTAATATGAGTGTTGTTAGTTTTGGGAATCTTACTGTGGTCATTCATTTGAATAGATTGCTTAGAGTTGGAAGTTCAACGAAAAGGGAAGGCTCAAGTTCCGGAGTGAATTCTTGATTGATTAAGGCAAGTGGATTTCTAAACCCTTGTTAAGCATATGGAATTCGTGTATTTCCTTGTGGTATATGTTTGGGAGTAATGTGATCAATTATTTGTGTAATGTGTTGAGAATTGTTTGAAAGACTTGTTGAATCATCGTTGAACTTGTGATTTGTGCAATGTTATGAAAATGGTCATCTCCTCATTATTTGTGTGAACATGTCATTTGCATTATTCTGAGACATGGTTGTGACAAGTGTTATGTGCATTGAGAAAGAATAAGAAATTAAGGAGGATGTACCATTTCGAGGGACGTATCGCGCGCCGCGATGGATACTATATTTCGAGGGACGTGTCGCGCGCCGCGACGGATATTATATTTCGAGAAACGTATCGCGCGCCGCGATGGATGCATGGACAGATATGTCCCCCATGGGTCCCGGACTGAGAGACAGCGGGTGTGTATCATTAGGTCAGACATGCATCACTATAATTGACATTGCATTGCACATTTTTATTATTAATGAATTTGATCTTGTGTGTTGCTGATCTTGTGAGTGCCTTTCTGTGAAATTGGTTATTGACGAATATTGAGGTGTATTGAGAATATATGACCTGTTAGAGTGCTATTGTTGAGTTGTATGCTTTGTAAATTGTAAATTGTTAGGTTGGGTTGGTTTTATGCAGGTTGTAGTTATGGAGGTTAGGATGGGGTGTAAGGAGTACCCGTATTCTGTACTCTTAGCTTGTGTTTAGAGGTTTGCTTGTTGAGTACCGTGTGGTTTGGTACTCACCCCTTGCTTCTACAATCTTTTGTAGGTTACGAGCCCGGATCTTCGTGATACCTTCAATTCTCTTCGTTTCCGAGGTTTTCTGTGGAGATCTGAGAGGTAGCTGTTTGTCATCTCAGCGAACCTTCTTACTCCTGTTTATGATTTTGTTTTTACTTGAAAGACAACGTCATTTGAGACTTGCGTATTTTCTTTCAATTCTAGTATTTACATTAGAGGCTTGTGCACGTGACAACCAGGTTTTGGGGATTTAATTAAGTTGACTTGTTTTCGTAATAGTAATTGCTATTGAACTTTGCTTTATTTCCGCACTTTATCAAGATGATTGGGTTTTAGGCTGACTTGTCTTGGTGGGATACGACGAGTGCCATCACATCCATTTTTGGGTCGTGACAATTATATTCAATTAAATGAGAAAATTTTGGACTATAGCGTTTGGTCTTTGTTTACTATTTCCTCTTTAGTAGTAATTATTTAGGTTGATCAAAGAATTCATCTTCTTAATTGTGTATGAAAAGAGAATTGCGTTTAACATCTTCATTTAGCTTCCTTTTTTTTGGAACTAATTTATGTTTTATTAGTTTGATCCTTTCAATAGCATTAATGAGAAGCAGCAGCAGATTCAAAATTTTAAGCAGATATAGAAATTATAAAATATATAACGTACTAGATTTCAAACAAAAAAAGTTTCCTATTAATTAAAAAAATGTAGTTTCTGAACTCCCATCGGAAATCTTATATGGCCAACAGTAACATCCATTAAAATTTACATTTAAAAAATAATAATTATTCTTATATTTAATTTAGGAGGATACAATTGTCAATTATAAACAATATAATCACATGAATTGTTCAAATCCATCTAAATGAAATGCAAAATTATACCCTAGATAATAAAATAAGTCTTGCACAATATGTTGTGTATGTCTCATGTGACGATGAGTCACATTTCTTATTCTTATGACTTATCTGAAAAAAATGTAAAGAATATGAATTCGAATAATAAAAATTTCCCAATCAACCATGGATCATATATGTAGGATTTTGATCAAGCTATTAAAATTTCGTGACTGTTAAGAGAAAATAGTACGATGATTGAGATCTTGTTATCAGATATCTCAAGTTCGAGCCATTAAAATAAAATTTAAAAAATCAATAAAAAAATGCTTTACTGGGCCTACCTGTTCCAAAGTTATTTTTTGTGTTATTTTAATTTTCACTTTTTGTCTTTAAATTTTTCCCCATATATTGTAATGGAAGTCAGCCACGGCTAGATACACGGATTCAACAGCTGGATTAAATTCTAAATATCTTTTTTTTAAAATATATATTAAGATATTAACCAAATCATGTTCCAATGTTAAAAGTTTAACCTTATTTTTATTTATATTAGAAATAAAACATAAAATCGAACAATTGAATTAAAATTACTACGTACATCGTATATCTTGGGGACCAAATAGTTTGGCGTAGCTTCTCTTTGTTAGCCTCCAAATTTTGATGGACTCATTTATTAGCAGTGTTTTGGCCGTTATTATTTATTAAGGCACGTACAATATAGTTGGGCGGTTGTAACACTAACTCCTAAGGTGACGCTTGTGATAGAGGGCGGGACATAGAGAATGACTGACAAATTAGCTTTTACGTTGGCAATTATAGCATTTTTAAAGAGTGGGTGTACATATTTTTTTAGGCGAATTCTATTAATATATTGGAATGGAAATGAAATAAAGAGTTTTATAATATCATAACATAAGTTTTCATGACACGTGTACTTCTAGATTCGACCATAGTGTAGCCTAGCATATAAATCAGTGAAATTTAGTGAGTTATAATATACAATATGTGTGTCATGAGCTTAAACTATGACACGAATCTTGTCCCAATGTAGGACTTTCCAAGACTGAATAAATTAGGAAGGTTAATAATTAAAGTAAAATTAGTTAGTTTATGATGAATTCTTGTATTTCTTTTGTCTCATGTAACTTGTATTATATTTGTCAATATATATGTTGTACGGTGAAAGATGACATTTATCTCTGCAGACTTAGTTATAAGCGGTCAAAGAAAACATATTTTTATTTATTTTGATTTTATCTTCAATACGTTTTCTCACGTGCATATCTCTTTCTTTTTTATCGATTAAAAACATATGAAAATTCTTTTTGAATATAAATCATGATAAGACTCAAATTAATGACTTATATTTGCTCTAATATCATATTGAAACGATTAGAGCGTCTAATTTAAAACTTTAAGTCATCAAAGGAGCGTGCACATTTCAAGCTAATAAAGGTACAGTGAATTTTTTTGTTCTTCTCTTGTGGGCTGATGATTGTGTATAATTAGCAGCCTTCTTTTTCTTTTGAATGATATTTTCATTCTTGCAGTGTTAAAATGATTACTATAAGATTAGTGTTTGGAACGAAAAAAACATGTTTTTTATAAAAATATTTTTTTGGAAAATAGGTAAAAATGTTACTTATTTTCGAATCGTATTTGGTAAGTAAGTAAAAAAATAATATTTTAAAAATATTTATATGTAAGCTAGTAAAACATTATGAGGGTGAGATGGGGTGGGAGGGAGCGGTCGGGGGTAGAGGGGGTGGAATAGTCAAGAGATGGGAGTTGGGGATGTTGGGATGGTGGGTGACACCACTACAACAAAAAATAGTTTTTAGCGGCAATAAATATGAAGATTATAACAAAGAGTGCTAAAGTATTTTATCGGCATTAGTTAATTTTGATTAGATCTAATGTCACTATAGAATTTAGGGACATTTACAAAGAGTGTTAATTGTCACTAAGAAAACATATTTAGCGGCAGTAAAATTTGACGCTAATTAATTGTCACTAAAAAAATTATTTTTGGTGTACAATGAACTTGAAAGTTCTTATGAAACTTGTTTCCCTAGTTTTGAAAACTCGTTTTCCTTATTTTAAAAAAGCTTATTTTCCTTTAAAAAAATGTTTTCCTCCCTACCAAATACACCCTATTGTGAATTTGACTTTAAGGGTGTA